ATCAACAGTGGAGGGAGTAAGACATCCCAGTCATCTTGGCGGCTATTACAAAACTTTGCCAATTCCTGCGTCCAGTTGTACTTTTCTACCATTCTATCAGGCTGTGGGTGAAGTGGCATTGTCCTGGTCTTTCGTATGCTAAACAACTTGCAGCATTCTTGGAACACAGCTGATGCGAAGTTACGGCCTTGATCTGAATGCAGTTCACATGGCATACCAAATCTGAAGAAGAAGTCACTAATAGCCAAAGCTACTGTTGTAGCTTCCTGACTTGGTATTGCATATGCCTCAGACCACTTGGTGAAATAATCCATCACCACACAAATGTACTTGTTTCCTGCACGAGTTTGGGGCAAAGGACCAGCAATGTCAACAGCTACTCTTTGCATTGTTACCGTCACTTCTTGGCGGTCTTATATACAAGAATACCGCATATCTAGTAAACACTCGAGGCTTCAGGAAGGGACATGAACGTTCTAGAAGCTCATGACGTGTTACCAGCGTCACGTGACTTCCACTGTCGTAACAGGTAATACTTTTCGAGCAGATTATTAAGACATGACTTTTATAAAAAAAAAATAATTTTAATGCATTAAAGTTTAAACATTCTATTTATAAGTTGTAAATTTTGTTTGTGCTAAGACTTCTTAAAACCTTCTCTGGTGTCTCAGATAACCAACGTAGCAGAGAAGTTAGACGCGATAACAACAGGATCGAGGTTCTCCAATCTCGGACGCTTGGTGTATATTTACTGCAAATTTGGTAAAAATCAAGAAAAGAAAAACAATCAAAGAAAATGGCCCCAGTTAAATTAAGATACAGTAATCTGAAAATCTATATAAACTATGCAAATCTCTAGAAACTTACGCAAATTCCATAATTTCTCTGTAAAATATTATTTTCCAAGCCCCATCACTGTTTTAAATATGTCAATAACCCTCACGTTTTTAGCACAAGAAAACAGTGATTAGATTTTGTTAGATTAGCTTTTCAACGACAGTAAAGATCAGGAAAGAGGATTCTATTTGCAACTATTATGAGATTCGCTGATGAAAATAACTCAGTTCAGTATTCACTAATTAAAAACATTATTATTTCTGTAAGAAAATCAAGTGAGCAGCTTTTGGTCTTCACTTAACCTAGTTCACCACCTTAAGGAAGTGAAAGTTAGTAAATCACTTGCCAGACTCTTTATATCTAATAGAAGAACTATGAAAACAACTTAATTCTGTGTTTGTTTTTTTACTTATTTTAACTAAATGGTGGAAAACACATCGTACGTTCTCGTACTACTCTTCTCAGTAAAGGAATGTCTGAGACTACTCAGCTTTAGATTGAGATCTTATGTTTCCTTCACTCTTCAACGGTGTAAGGTAAAGTAGGAAAATATTTATTCATAATAAATAATGAAATTTCATCTGAATTTTGAACTGTATCAGAATTTGCAGAGAAATAACTATTAGAAATGAGTGACGTAAAGATTTATTTATGACGAAGTACTATATACTTACTACCCATGACCTACAGCTAGACGTCATCCGTCATACACAAGGTCCCATATAGTTGCATTACACATTAGGAAAAACAGGAAATATGCTGATTAATAACAATATTATGTAGATCCCTACACTGAATTACTCTTGCTTTATGAACATGAACAAATGCATTGAAGAATGAACATTAAAAGTAATTGCATCCTTTGGCATAGATGCATATAATTCACAGAACAATGACAATAAAATCCAAGTTAACATCCTGAAGCAACTACATATTGCAGAATCTGCTTCAGTCATGATTCAAGAGTTTTCTAGAAAACAAACTTAACTTGAACAACGAAATTATTGCTGGTTAAAGGAATCAGTTTGAAACCACTTTGACTTAAGAGCACACACTAAAACCAGCATCGTCATTGGTACCAGATATCAGATTTGTTTGCAAAAAGTAAAGCTAAAATATTATTACAGAAGCAATAACACTGATATTGGCAAAAATGTGGAAGTATTTCAATTAACGTTCATGACTGGAAAACGAAAAAAATACATTTGTTGATATTTTCTACCATAAGATCGACTATTATATGTTTTTAGTGAAAACAGCTCTAAAGTTAATAAAAGATACGTCTCGATTTTAGGTAGCACGACTTTTAGAAACTGCTAGATATTTTAAAAGATAAAGATTGGATGTGGTATTCAAAAATGTTGTGGAAACAAAATTGAACTCATTCAGCAACAGAAACCCAAGAGAACACAAATGTTTAAAGTAAAACTGGATATAATGGAAAATTTAAAAAACTACAAGAAAGTTAGGGATTTGGTTTAAAAACAAAAAGATTAGAAAACCATAAAGAGCGTACGAGAAACAGTTGGCTATAATATAATACTAGTTGCGTAGTATTCTCAAGTGAAA